AAAACAGGCCTAGTACAGGATGAAAAAGAAGAATAAAGAATGAAAGATGATGGAGTTTAAAAGATCAGCCAGAGAGGATGGAAGAGCAGTTATTGATAGGCAGGCATTTGAAGTGGAAATGGCAGAAATAAGAAGAGATTTAAGGGCACTTTATCAAACTACTAAATGATTGGCAGCAGATTTAGCTACAGAAGAGCTCATCCAATAGAAACAGAGAAGCCTTACACCACACTAGAAGAGCAAAAGCTAAGAGTTGAGAAGCATTTTATGTTGTACCGAACCAACACTTAGCTTTGATAACATAGAAAAGATGATGAAACTTGGCATTTACTCTTTGAAGACCATTGCTGAAAGTTGTTTATTAAAGAGGAAAAGGAACATCATAGTGCAACTGCTCAACAGAAGTGGCAAAATCATCTTACAACCACTAAGCATTTCATCAAATTGAGTGGGGAGGAAGTTATAATCAAAATGTTCTCAATAGTGATGTAATCGGTGCATAAACCTGCTTAGATCTAGGAGGCTCTCTGTTCTTGAAAACATCAATTTAAAAACTGTACTGTCCATATTCATAAAGAGCAACTGCCAAAGAACAGTAAGTTACTCTGAACCTAGGTTGGTTTTATTTGGTCCAAGTTTTGATACTGCCTAAATAACTAATTGGTAAAATTAATTATCAATAACTGGAATTTTCTAGAAATACATTATGTTGTAGAATAGACTCTACAAAAATTGCATATAAATACAATAAACAATAAGAATAAATTGGATCTGTAGCATGCAAATTGCAACACATTGTTTTGTATACTGTTTACACTACTTAAGAATAGATCACTACAGATCTACCAGACTGATTTTGCTCATCTTGAAGCTTCAGTAGTTTATACAGGTAGAAAAGATATAAGCAATGGACAGCTCAAAAGCTTTAGCTTTAACAGCAAAAGAGCCACTGTGACTATCACCAAACAACAGATTGTCCTTTCAGTTGTCTTTCTTTTTTTTTCTGACAGCAAGGTACTCTTGCCACAAAAATGGGAGTAACTCTAGCAGCAAAAAGTGTGTTAGTTCTGTAGGGTGGGTCTATCAAGACTCTTCAATTTGCAGCCCTCAAGTTGTTTGTGCCACCAAATCCCAGTAAGTCTAGTCAGCTTGTTCAATGATCAGGAAATCTGGGAGCTGAAATCCAAAACATAAAGAAGGCCACAGGTCGAAGAGACTTGTGAGAGCGGCAGAATGTGCAGTGATGGGAAGGACAAGTAGGGGAAGTTGGAGAATAATTTGTGGGCACAGGGAGGCTGGAACATGAAAAATGGTATGGCAGTGAAAAAGAGAAATGCACTGTGGCCTGAGCAGTAGTTCTGTGAGAAGGGAGATGTGTGAACTCAGGCCCCTTCTACACTGCTCTACATCCCAGAATCTGATCCCAGATTATCTGCTTTAAACTGGATCACATGAGTCTCCACTGCCAGCTAATCTGGGATAAGGAGATAATCTGGTATCAGATCCTGGGATATAAGTGCTGTGTGGTAGGGGCTCTGGATTTTATATGGCTGTGTAGAAGTAGTCTCAGGCAAGATATACACTGCTCTTTATCCCAGGATTTGATCCCAGATTATCTGTTTATCCCAGATTATCAGACAGTGTAGACTCATATATCCAGTTCAAAGTAGATAGAATCATAGAATCATAGAATCAAAGAGTTGGAAGAGACCTCATGGGCCATCCAGTCCAACCCCCTGCCAAGAAGCAGGATTATTGCATTCAAATCACCCCTGACAGATGGCCATCCAGCCTCTGTTTAAAAGCTTCCAAAGAAGGAGCCTCCACCACACTCCAGGGCAGAGAGTTCCACTGCTGAACGGCTCTCACAGTTAGGAAGTTCTTCCTTGTGTTCAGATGGAATCTCCTTTCTTGTAGTTTGAAGCCATTGTTCCGCGTCCTAGTCTCCAGGGAAGCAGTAAACAAGCTTGCTCCCTCCTCCCTGTGGCTTCCTCTCACATATTTATACATGGCTATTATAACAACACCTTTATGTCTGTCTAGGCAGGGGGGCAAACAATCCCACCACTGCCACCAAATTATAAAGGCACGTCGTGTGGCCAAACAATATAACTGGACAGGGGGCAAACAGATCCCACCACCTGTCCCTCCTTTAATAAAGAATTCACGGGCACCTATATAACATTTGAGGAGATGTCTCTCTAGTTAAACTTTCGCTGCCACCATAAACTAAATGAACAGGAAACCCTCTAGCTGTTTAAACTGTTAAAAGGCTTTTAGACCACCAAGTACTGTGTTTTATTTTCTTATTTAAAGGAAGCAGGTGAGGTTGAATGAAAAGAACTATAGCCACAAAGGCACACTGGACTCAGGCTTTTAAGTTTAAAAAATAATCAAGAAAGTTTATTGATAGAAGTACAGAATGAAGTGAATGTTGTTTGATAAGCTTGGCTGTTACAGATAAAATGTTTTGGTTCTTGAAAGCGTAACGGTTGCGTGAGAATGGTTCTTTCTTTGTTACAAACTACAAAACCCAGCTATTTCTTCCCTAAATAGCTGTACCCAGTTTGCCACAGCTTAATTCGCTGGCAAACTTCAGGCAAACTGCCTATTCTTAACACGAACTCCTAAAAGCTTCTATAATCCTGCTCTAAACTCTAACATCAACAGACTGACTCACTGAAACAGTTTCTTTCTTTCCCTCCAAACAGTCCAACTCCGCCCCCCTTTAATAAACCAATCCTGGCTGCTCTAAGGCTGGCTCAGGCCTAGGCCACTCCCCCTCTCTGAAATGGAGCTTTCCCTAAACTAAAATGGCTCCTGCTGCCCTCTGCCAGGCCTTCTAAGGCTGAAACTACCTAGCCTGCCTCTCCTAGGCCCTGCCACCCAGGCTGGTAAGGTAAGGGGTCTTCACAGCTATCATATCCCCTCTCAGCCTTCTCTTCTTCAGGCTAAACATGCCCAGCTCCTTAAGCCGCTCCTCATAGGGCTTGTTCTCCAGACCCTTTATCATTTTAGTCACTCTCCTCTGGACACATTCCAGCTTGTCAATATCTCTCTTGAATTGTGGTGCCCAGAATTGGACACAATATTTCAGGTGTGGTCTAACCAGAGCAGAATAGAGGGGTAGCATTACTTCCCTAGATCTAGACACTATGCTCCTATTGATGCAGGCCAAAATCCCATTGGCTTTTTTTGCCGCCATATTACATTGTTGGCTCATGTTTAACTTGTTGTCCACGAGGACTCCAAGATCTTTTCCACACGTACTGCTCTCAAGCCAGGCGTCCCCCATTCTGTATCTTTGCATTTCGTAATCTGATAATCTGAGATCAGATTCTAGCATTTAGTGCAGTGAAGATCCAGCCTCAAAAAACTACTTGGGGTCTTATCACCGGTGTCTATTTGTAAAGGTGGCTATTTGTTTTAATAGCTGGGGAGGTAGATTGTAGTGTATCTGCATAGACATATAGATGAAAAGAGGAAGGGCCTCTGGGTGGCTGGATGATTGAAGTTTGGAGTACTTTGGGAATAATGGGGAATAGTTAGGGTGGATCTACCTTGTCCAATATCCCAGGATCTGCTTTGGCCTGGATTATATGCGTTTACACTGCCAGATAATCTTTGACAAGCAGATAACCTGGGATCCAATCCTGGGATATAGAGCAATGTAGATTCAGCCTTAGAGTGAGAAGCAGGGTAGGATGAAGAATAGTATGGGAATGGGGAAAGACTGCTGCTACTTTACCTGAAACTTCCTATGTCACCAGAAAAGATGGCATTTTGAGTCTTGCTCTCAAATTAATAAATACAGGTTGCATCACAAGGAGACTCTGGTCCCATCTACACTGCCATATAATCCAGTTTCTGAATGCAGATTAACTGCATTGAACTGGATTATATAGCAGTGTAGACTCATATGACTCAGTTCCATTCTAAAATTGGATTACCATATATGGCTGTGTAACAAGCCAAAAAACATGAACTGTTTTGCTATATTAGTCTTAAACATCAGCTCCTCTTTTCAATCACTCATTTCATCACTTCAGAGATACCAGATTGATTTTGCTCATTTTCAGGCCTATCTGTAGTGACATGGGCTTTTGCAATAGTTTGAAATAGTCTTTTAACTGAGGTGCACCTCATCTCCATTCTCATCATATTTTAAAATATTTTCAAATTATTCTATTTCAGTGATTGGTTGACAATAGCTACTTATGTTCCCAAAGCGTCTCTTCTTTGTGTTGACTACTCCATTACTTAGACATCAACAGATTGATACTTCCAGCTCTAATTTCAATAAATCATCTTCTTTTCAGTGTAGCTAAGGGCCCTTCCACATAGCCATATAGCCCAAAATATCAAGACAGAAAATCCCACAATATCTGTTTTGAACTGGGCTATCTGAGTCCACACAGCCATATATTCCAGTTGAAAGCTGAAAATGTGGGATTTTATTCAGATGTGTAGACGGGATCTAAATGATGCCATCTCTAGAAGCCATGAAGATAAGAAATGCAGAAATAGGGTAATAGTAGGGTGACAATTGAGGAAAGATTAACCTATTCAATATTTTTCAGGACTAGGATTCTCCTATATGGGAATAATAGGGATAAATTTCTATATTGTGTATAATTGCTAAGGAGGCTGTAAATCAGTGGTTCCCAAACTTATTTGTCCTACCCCCTGGAAATCAATTTTTCTAAATCTTCTCTTCTTTCTTTTACACTTTCACTGCCCCCTTACAGTTATTCATCGCCCCCAAATGCACCTGTGGCCATTACCACTGCCCCCGCCCCCGATCACTGCAGTGCCCACCAGGAGGTGGTAACGCCCACTTTGGGAATCACTGCTGTAAACCCTTAGAGTTGAAGCATCTCAGAATTATATTTAGTTTTTAAAAAGTTACTCAGGTTCATTTCAAAAGTTTACATGTATCTAATGTGAAGTATGTATATGCTGTAAAAGATAAAATTGCATGCCATTTTAAAAGTTCCTACCTTAAATGTACCAGGATAAGGATCAATATTTTTTATGGCAGCCCAAGTCCTACAATGGGGTTTCCCCAGAAATTCCACATGATGGCTTTCAACAGCTCCATCCAAATCATATGTCACATACTGTCCATTAACAGGATCAGGACAAATGATGCCAGGCCACCTTGAAATCAAATGGTTTAAAAAAATCAGAGAAGAATAAAATGCATAATGTTCTCCAAATGAAAACACAAGGAAAGCCATTATTCACTCACAAAAAAACCTAAAATAAATGCAGGGACAATTTAATGGTGGAAAGACTAATTTTAAGTGGAGCGCGGAAAACAATGTATTTATTTAGTTATTTACTACATTTATATACCACTTTTCTCCCCAGAGGGAACTCAAAGTGGTTTCCAACATTATAAAGGCAAAATTCAATGCCATACATACATGTGAAAACCGAAACATAATAGCTAGACAATAACACATAACTATAAATTAAAAACCTAAACAAATTAAAACAGAAAACCACATTTATACATAAAGCATAAAATTAAACATGGATAATCCAATAACATTTATATTAAAACCCACCCATAAAGAACATGATTTAAAAACAGTTATTAAAATCATGCCATCCAAAATCAAAACCATCATTATTCCATTGGTCCATTAACTATTCCTTATTCTCTTATTGCACTAAGAACTTTGCTGTCCAAAAGCTTGGTCACATAACTCACATTTTTATTTTCTTCCTGAAGGTCAGGAGGGATGGGGCTGCTCTAATTTCACTTGGGAGGGAGGTCTGTAGCTGTGGGGCTACTATTAAGAAAGCCCTGTCTCTCATCCCCATCAGTTGCACTTGCGAAGGAGGTGGAATTGAGAGCAGGGCCTCACCAGAAAAATCTTAATCTCCGAGGTGGATCATAGAGGGAGATACGTTCAGACAGGTAAGCTGGGCCAGAACCGTTTAGGGCTTTATAGGCTAAAGCCAGCACTTTGAACTGTGCTTGGCAGCAGACTGGCAGCCAGTGGAGCTGGCGTAACTGTTGTATGCTCCCAGTATGCTGCTTCAGTTAGAAATCTGCTGCCAGATGGGGGACTGCCTTATGTTTCCACCATCCTACCTGCTCACACTACTCAGGACAGAGGAATAGGAATGGTTTTTCTGGAAAATAATTCTGATGGATCTTTGCTGTTTTGACACCCCCACACACCCAAATCTAAAGCAAGAGTGACCCCTCTTCACCAATGGAAGAGTAGTTCAATCCTATAGAAAGCTTCTTCAAGCTGCAAGTTAGGATTGAACTTTTGACTATTTAACCTTTAGTAAATCATCTTCTTTTCAGTGTAAAATATACTTTCCAGAATTATGTGATCCTATCTGCTTATCTTTGTGTGTTAACCATACCTCCCCTCCCTGCTTCCTCCCAATTCCTTTTCAGAAATAAACAATTCCAGTGTATAATTTAATTAAAATGAACCATTAGAAAATATTGAAACCGACAGAAGGGGAAGATAAGGTTGTTGTTTTTTTCCAAGCAGGGTATTCTGGTTAATTGTCATTAGGACAATACATTGTAGCACATTTTGACTTAAAGTATCTGCAATTAAATTTTCACATTGTGAATCTTACCTTGGCAATGTTTGCATTTTCACCAAAACTAAACTTCCTAAAGGAAACATTGAGTACACATACTTTAATCCATGTTTTTGAAACTGAGATGTATCAGGAAAATACTCTTCAGAAACAGAGCATTTATTGAACTGTGGATCGGTATACATGTAACAGTACCATGGTTCATTTGGATTAATATATGCTACATTATCATGTTTTAACATTCTCCATTTTAAGCAGCCGATGTTCTCACACTGTACCCATACTTTATCTGTATAAAAATTTGTGTCTGTTATGGAATCCATATAAGAGTCAGAGATTGTAGAATACTTTTCCCTGAAACACAAGGGTAGAATCAGTTAGACATAAGTTTGAAAATTCTTACAATAAAGATCATACGCAGGAGAAACTCCCCTAATTAACATCTCAAAGGTAAATGTGGTTTGAGGGAAACAGTAATGATTCACATTATATTCTTTCAGAATAAATTAGAATAGTTAGTATTCTGAAGAAGAGTCGTGGAGAAAAATATAGACAGGATAATAGAACAGGATAATAAATCTGCCTATAAAACAGATTTGCCAACAATCCCACTTCCAAAGCAAAATGAAGATACATCATCATTCCAAGAAATTAGAGCTTTTGTCTGTAGATTATGGACAGCAGGAACCAGTTTACCAGGTTAATGCATGACTGTGGTGCTTCTACATTGGCACTATACTGCAGTTTGGGACTGGTTTGGGAGGAAGTAGTTTTCAGATTGCCATTCTTGGAACCAGTTTGAGGCCAGGAAGGTGATTACATTTATTATGGAACCTGTTTTAAATTTTGCACTGTTTTCTTTTTCTGTTTCCTACAGAAATGTGCATCAGTGCACCAGAGGTATACGGGATGAAAAAAAAGGAGATGTAACATAAGCACAGGTAATCAATTACTCCTCCCAAGGAGGAGCCCCCTGTTCCCCAGTCATACCCATGGAGGATTTCCCCATTCTGGATTCTCTATTGCGCTTCAGCAGGGCAGATGTCCACAATGATTTCAATATGAATGTTTGGCAAATCAGCTACAACTTGATGTGTTAGTTTCCTTTTTCATGTGCTTGAAACAAATCACTAACAATTAAGGAAATATGTTGAGCTTTTTATACTAAGGTTCCAGCTTCTGGGTTTAGCTGAACAATCCATTTCTAGTAGCGGGTGGATTGATTTTTTTTCGTGTCAGGAGCAACCTGAAAAACTGCAAGTCGCTTCTGGTGTAAGAGAATTGGCTGTCTGCAAGGACAATTGTGAGACCAGTCCTAAAAAAAGGTGTCCCTAGATTCCTTGGTATTGAACAATTTCCAGCCAATTTCTAATCTGAACAATTTCCGGCCAATTTCTAATTTCTAGAGCAAGTGGTGGCTTCTCAGCTCCAGGGATTCTTGGATGAAAGCAATTATCTAGATCCATCGCAACCTGGTTTCAGGCCTGTGCTCAATGGTGTTACACTCTCTGTGATGACACAGGCCCACAGTCTGGGAGTTCTTCTGGATTCAGTGCTGATACTTGATGCTCAGGTGTTGGCGGTGGCCGGGAGGGCTTTTGAACAGCGAAAACTTGTGCATCAGCTGCAAATGTACCTTGAGATGGAGACTGCTTTGGTGGATGACGTCCGCAGAGAACTAGACATGGGGAGTGTGTCCTTGTTGGTTCTCTTGGACATCTCAGCAGCTTTCAATACCATTGACCATGATATCCTTCTGGGTTGGCTCTCCGAAATGGGTCTTGGGGGCATTGCTTTGCAGTGGTTCCATTGCTTTCTGGAGGATCATACCCAGTTGGTGAAGCTGGGTGACACCTGCATGGACCCTTGGCCATAGTGCTGTGGGGTCCTGCAAAGTTCCAATCTATCTCACATGCTTTTTGATGTCTACATCAAACTATTGGGTGAGATCATCTGGAGTTTTGGAGTTTGGTGCCATCTTTATGTAGATGGTTGTTTATGCCATCTTTATGTATGTGGTTGTTTAAGAAGGCGTTTGAGTAAGTGCTGCAAAAATTGGCAATGACGATTGGAACGGAACATGGATAACGAGATTTGGATTGTGATTCAATGATGAGACGTCGCGAATGATTTAGTGTAATTGTATTATTGATAGTGATGTTGTTTATTGTTGTTTGTGATATTGCTTATGTTGTAAATTGTACCTGATTTTATATGTTGTACACCGCCGTGAGTCGCCCTAGGGCTGAGAACGGCGGTCTACAAGTGCAGTAAATAAATAAATAATAAATAAATAATTCTATTACTCTTTTCTGCTAAATTCCAAGGAAGCCCCCTGGATCCTGGATCAGTGCCTGGCTGCTGTGATGGACTGGATGAGGGTTAACAAATTAAAGCTTAATCCAGACAAGACAGAGGTCCTCCTGGTCAGTCGCAAGGCCAATCGGGACATAGGGTGGCAACCTGTGCTCAATGGGGTTACACTCTCCCTGATGACACAGGCCGACAGTCTGGGAGTCCTTCTGGATTCAGTGCTGACACTTGATGCTCAGGTGTTGGCAGTGGCCGGGAGGGCTTTTGAACAGCGAAAACTTGTGCATCAGCTGCAAATGTACCTTGAGAAGCCTGACTTGACCATGGTAGTCCACACCTTAGGTACATCCAGGTTGGATTACTGCAATGTACTCTATGTGGGGCTGCCTTTGAAGATGGCCTGGAAACTGCAACTGGGGCAAAGATCGGCAGCCAGGTTACTAACTGGAGCTAATTAGAGGGAGAGGATGATACCCTTATTAAAACTGCTCCACTGGTTGCTGATAAGTTTCCAGTCCCAATTCAAGGTACAGGTTGTCACCTGCAAAGCCCTAAATGGCTTGGGCCCTGCCTATCTTCGTGATCCCCGCTCCCCCCACCAATGTTCCTGTGCGAGCATTAACATCTGCTGGGGAGGCCTTCCTTGCAGTCCTACCACCGTCACAAGCATGGTTGGTGGGGATGAGGGAGAGGGCCTTCTCGGTGGCAGCCCCCCGGCTCTGGAATGCCCTTCTCAGGGAGATTAGGTAAGTCCCCACACTGTCCTCCTTCCAGAAGGAATTGAAGACTTGGATGTTTGGACAAACTTTTGAGAATATCCACAATGGTCCACAATTAATGCCACAGCACTGCACTTTCGTCCCATGCCCTAGTTCATTAGCTAGTTCCTATTCCCTGCTCCTGTTTGAAGTTGACAGTTCTCATCATATGTTATTGGGTGCTGTTTTGAGCTTAAACTTTGTTTTATATGCTACTGTTTTTATCTTGTATTGTATTGTGTGCTTATTTTGTGTGTTGTTTCAGCACATTGTGCCATGTGTAAGCCTCCCTGAGTCCCTTCAGGGAGATGGAGGAGGGGTACAAAAATAAAGTTATTATTATCTATATAAATAAAAATGTAACGTTCGTTTGTGGGATTAACATAACTCAAAAACCACTGGATGAATTGACACCAAATTTGGACACAATACACCTATCAGGCCAAGGAGTGACCATCACTCATAAAACACTGAAAAACACAATGAAAGGGACTTAGAAAGTCAAAAAAGCAAAAAGATGCAACAGCACATGCACAAAAATGACTCCCCCTGGCAAACAAAACACACAATAGCATATCCACACTCTCTTCCAGACTACAGATCCCAGCATCCCCTAGATCAGACCAGTTGGGAGAGGAGGATGATCCAAATGCACTGCTTTCAAGCTGCACACTTTCTTCTCCTTGGATTTCTTTGAGAGCATGCCAATCCCTGCATATTTCCAACTTCCTATTCCTTGACTGCAACTCCCAGCAATCATCCAGATAGATAGATAGATAGATAGATAGATAGATAGATCAGGAGGACTGCTGGGAGTTGCAGTCCAAAAATAGGTGAAGGAAGAAAGGGGAGAAAGAGGAAGGGGGAAAAGGTGGAAGGAAGGGAAGGAGAAGGAAGGAGAGAAAGAAAGAAAAAAGGGAAGGAGGGAAGGAAGGAAAAATGGGAAGGGAGGAAGGAAAGAAAGAGGGAGGGAAGGAAGGAAGGAGAGAAAGAAAGAAAGAAAGAAGGGAAGAAAGGAGAGAAAGAAAGAAGAAAAAGAGGGAGGGGAGGTTGGCCACAGCAACGCATGGCGAATACAGCTAGTTATTAATAATAATAGTAATATGGATTATCTGCTTTGATAATCTGGATTATATGGCAGTGTAGAAAGGGCCTGAAACTCCCATCACCATTAGAATAATAGAATCATAGGGTTGAAAGAGATCTCATGGGCCATCCAGTACAACCCCCTGCCAAGAATATTGCATTCAAAGCACTCCTGACAGATGGCCATCCAGCCTCTGTTTATAAGCTTCCAAAAAAGGAGCCTCCACCACACTCCGGGGCAGAGAGTTCCACTGCTGAACGGCTCTCACAGTCAGGAAGTTCTTCCTAATGTTCAGATGGAATCTCCTTTCTTGTAGTTTGAGCAAAGCCAGCGGTGACAGGTCCTACAGTTGGAGGATGACATAGTTCATATCCTCTGTCAATGGCCCCTTCCTCACAGATATACAAAATCCACATTATCTGCTTTGAAGTGGATTATCTTGCAGCCTAGACTCAGATACTCCAGTTCAAATATGATAATGTGGATTCTTCCCTCAGCACAACTCTCAGATGTCCCCCCGCGGTGGGGGAAAAAAATCACCTCAGCCTCCCTGAGGACACTTCTATGGGTTCTGGTCCACTCCCTCTTCCAGAGAGACTACAAACCCCGGCATGCCTTGCTGGTGACGTCACGAGGCTCTTTGCTTTCTCYCCCCCCCCCCCCCTTTTGGGTAGTCTTGCCGGGACGTGGAACTTCCCAAAGCGGAAGCCGGGGGGCGGGCTGAAGGCGGGCCGGAGCTGCTGGTAGGCGGACGCTTCTGTGAGTGAGAGAAGGGGCTTGAGTCCTGCCACTTCCGGTTTGAGGCTGAGGGGAAGACGATGCGCGTTGCGAGGAGGCGGCGCCGCCGGCAGCAGCAGCAGCAGCAGCAGCAGCAGAGGAGACGGGCTTTTCTCGGCTCCGGCTTCCTGTGTTTTCCGGCCACAGCTTCTCGACTCGCGTGACCCGAGGGCGAAAGGCCTCCCACTTCCGCCATGAGCTGCCTGCTGGCCGAAGGTACCACAAACGCCCTTCCTTCCAGCGCCTCCCGCCCCAGAGAGGCCTCTCTTCTCGGAAGGCTTTGCCCTGGCTGGGTGCATCTCAGCCAGGGCAAATTGCCTGGAATTAATGCAATTGGATCCCACTTTAATTGCCATGGCTTCAGTTCTATTGGGTTTATAGTCTGGTGAGGCAGCTGCACGCATTTAGCAGAGGAGGCTGAAGATCTTGTGAAGCTACTACTCCCAATATTCCATAGCGTTGAACCATGGCAATTTAGGTGCTGTCAAACTGCATCAATTCTACAATGTAGACCAGACATGGGCAAACTTCGGCTTGCCAGGAGTTTTGGACTTCAACTCCCACAATTTCTAACAGCCTACTGTTAGGAATTGTGGGAGTTGAAGTCCAAAACACCTAGAGGGCCGAAGTTTGCCCATGCTTGGTGTAGACACATCCTCCACTAATAGGGACTTCAGGTACCCCTCGTAATTTTATTTATTTATTTATCGTGTCAGGAGTGAAGCAAAACAGTTGTATTGCATTACAAACAGACAAACAAACAAATCACAAAGTTCGCAAACTTGGTAGTTGATTAAATGTCCTTTGACCAGTAGCTGGCCACTTGGAGCGCTTCTGGTATTACTATAAGAAGGTCCTCCATTGTACATGTAGCAAGGCTCAGGTGGTCTGTGGTTTGCTCTTACCCACACTCGCATGTCGTGGATTCCACTTTGTAGCCCCATTTCTTATCGTTGGCTCTGTATCTCGTGGTCTGTTCAGTGCCTTCCATGTCGCCCAGTTTTCTGTGTGCCCAAGAGGGAGTGTCTCATTTGGTACCAGCCTTTGATTGAGGTTCTGGGTTTGAACCTGCCGCTTTTGGACTCTCGCTTGTTGTTGGTGTGCTGACTGATACCCAAACAGAGGGTGGGGCCCGGAGATTTCACTGCCTTGGTCCTTTCACTATTGGTTGCTACTCCCCAGTGGATGTCAGGTGGTGCAATACCGGCTAAACAGTGTAATTTGTCTAGTGGTGTAGGGGTCAGACACCCCGTGATAATGCGGCATGTCTCATTAAGAGCCGCATCCACTGTTTTAGCGTGGTGAGATGTGTTCCACACTGGGCATGCATACTCAGCAACTGAGTAGCATAGTGCATGGGCAGATGTCTTCACTATATCTGGTTGTGATCCCTAGATTGTGCCAGTCAGCTTTCGTATGATATTGTTTTTAGCGCCCACTTTTTGCTTGATATTCAAGCAGTACTTCTTGTGTTAAGAATTGCCCATTATTTGAGGCTTGGAAAGCTTGATCCACATTATGTCCCTTATTATGTCCCCTCTTTGAGGGCTGGGAAACTTTTCTCTGCAGACCGAAGATGCCCCCCCCCCCCTATATATATCCATATCCATAACTGAGGGATGCCTTCGTAAAGATAGAAGTATGCACCTCCAGTAATTTTAGAATGGTCTTCCTGTTAAAAGTCCTTGTCAAATAACTTTTAAAATAATGTTTATAAAGTAACCAGGATACATTAACTATCATATCAAGCTGAGGAGCCTTCTAACCAAGGTGAAAGAAGAAAATGGAAAAGCTGCAGTTAAACATTTTTTTAAAAACCCAAGATGATGGCAACCAGACTGATTGATAACTGGCAAATAGAGGGAGAAAACATAGAGGCTGTGACAGACTTTGTATTTCTAGGCACAAAGATTACTTCAGATGCAGATTGCAGCCAGGAAATCAGAAGACGTTTCCTCCATTCTATCTCGATAAAATGGTTAAGAGTAGAGATATCATTCTGGCAACGAATGTCTGCATAGTTAAAGCAGTGGTATTCTCTGTAGTAACCTATGGATGCAAGAGCTGGACCACAAGAAAGGCTGAGCAAAGGAAGCTAGACGCTTTTAAACTTCCTTTCAAAAGTTGTGGTCACACAACGAGAAGACAGGAAAGCTTGGGGAAGATAATGATGCTGGGGAAAGTGGAAGGAAAAAAGGATGAATATTATCCTTGAAGTGACGGACTCCACCTTGAAGGAGCTGGAGTAGTGACAGTCGACAATAAGCTCTGGTGTGGGCTGCTCCATGAGGTCACAAAGTCAGAAACAACTGAACAAATAAAACAACAACATTATATCAAAGGGATAAAGCCATAGCCTGTTTATTTATTTATCTATAGCCGTTTATTTATAACTGTTTATTTCTTTATCCTGCCTTTTTCCCATTGATGGGACTTGGGTTGGGTGACATTATATTTAAAACAATGCAAATTAGAGACAACACAAAAGCATTAATAAGCATGCATATAATTAAAAAACAATTGAACAATTAATAAAGGTAACTGAACTCAGTACAGCTGGCTTTCTCTATCCATGTATTCTGCACCCACAGATTCTACCATTCATAGCTTGAAAATATTCTCAAAAGCAATTCCAGGTTTTGCCATTTTATATAAAGGACAACATTTTGCTACCCAGTTGTGTATAATACAAATTGAGCATCCACGGTAGATATCATATCCCATCATGTTTTCAGTTGGCATTTAGGTGGAACACAAACTTCTTGATCACTGCTTTCTGATTGTCTGTCCGTATATTATGATTGTTGTGGTCTTTCGTTGCTATTTTAAAAACCTGGCAACACTATTTATTAAATAGGAATTTTCAAAGAAAAGGCTTTATTAATAGACATTTTATCCTAGGTGAGATATGGTATCCTTGTCTGAATAATTGTTGTGTGTGGGGGACAGAGATTGGCATGACAGTACACTTATCCCATGTGATAATTTTAAAGTGAGAGTCCCATAAGTTCCCACCCTCATTATACGTGTTCAGTAATGTTTCCTGCTTAATCAATAGGTTCTGCAGTGCTGGTTGACTTCTTCCCTGTACACAGTAAACACATAAGGTATGCGGGAAAATGAAAGTAGCAAGCTTGCCAGGGAGATAGTGCTCTTGCCTGGATTTGTATAATACGTCCAAACTTCTATTGGTATGAAAATCAAGGAAGAATCTTTAAAAATGAACAGGCTTTAGGTGGCATAACATTTGTGAACTGTGGAAATGCACGAGGTGAAGAAAACATAACCAATACTGTCAGCCTTTAAGCCAGACTTTGCTGAAACATTAAGTAGCAATCTTTCTTAAAATTCTTTGTGAAAGGGCTTGTTTATTTTTGCCCTAAGCAGCTTCTTATGTAAACTGTTTCAGTCAAAGGACAAATATCCTGCCTTCTGTGCTAATTTTTGGAAGGTACATTCTTTCTCAGACTTTGCCTGATGACTTCAGTTTGGGGAATTTTTGAATGTGGCTTATGACTATGTCTGTGTTCTTCCATGTTATTTCAGGGTACAGGGAAAAATGAAAGCAAAACTACGTGTTTCTGAACTTTAGTTCTCATCTCATGGATTGTGAACTTGCCTAGATTGAAATACTCCTAAAATATTCCAATCCTGTAGCAATATATAAATTTATTACTCCATATAAATTGCATGCCCAAAATAATCTGCCCCCCTTCGCCCAGTTTTATTCTAAAACTTCAAATAGCATACCCTCCTGGTGGCTAGCAACAGAGGACTGAAGAGATGCATTTCAGTGGTAGGTGCAGTTTTCCTCCTTTCTAGAAGTCTGCTTGCTTTCAGTATAATAAACAAAGGAGGGACAACCCTGTGATCACATATTTGCATGTAATTTGTGATTGCTGTTGACCATCTGATAGGTCTTAAAGTACAAGGTAGTAATTGTTAGCTTACACTTTAGATCAGGGGTCCTCAAACTAAGGCCCGGGGGCCAAATACGGCCCTCCAAGGTCATTTACCTGGCCCTCGGTCAGGGTCAACCTAAGTCTGAAACGGGTTGAAAGCACACAACAACAACAATAACAATCCTATCTCATCAGCCAAAAGCAGGCCCACACTTCCCATTGAAATACTAATAAGTTTATATTTGTTAAAATTGTTCTTCATTTTAATTATTGTATTTTAAGTGTTTTTGCACTACAAATAAGATATGTGCAGTGTGCACAGGAATTCATTAATTTTTTTGAAATTATAGTCCGGCCCACCAACAGTTTGAGGGACTGTGACCTGGCCCTCTGTTTAAAAAGTTTGTGGACCCCTGCTTTAGATTTACATTTTCTTGTTAATTGTCTTCAGGTCCGGTTTGACTTAAGGCAGATATGAGTAGCAGTCTTCCAAGAGTTCACATCCTCAACATACATGTTGCAGCCTTGCAAATTGATTGATTCGACCCTCCAGAAATAACTTCTTTTTCTGCTTTCTACCTTATTCAGCATTATGGGTTTGTTTTTGTTTTTTTACAGAATCATGTCATTTTCTGATATGAGCAAAGTATGATGGCATCAGGTTGGTCATTTTGTCTTGCATTCAGAGTTCAAATTTGATATGCTTTTGAATTTCCAGTTTGATAGGCTCATTTGCAAGTTTATATTGGTAAATCACAGTCATGAGGGCATGGTTAAAATGCTGACAAAGATTGCTGTTAACCTAGTGCCATGCAACCATTTATCATTGATGCATTGTGTAAATTGGATGGGTGTTGAAAGAAATAAGAGGAAGTAAAGTAGAAAAGCTTGTGTCTGGGTTGGACTACTTACAAATTGCAGGAATGTTGATGGGTAACGTTGCGTGTAAAGCTTTTTGAAAAGGGGGCTGGTATTAGATATGCCAACTCTGAATCTTTAGTAGAACTCTTTCTGATTCTTTATTTCCAGGAGCCAAAAAAATGGATTGTAAAGTAATCAATACTTTACAAGTGGGAATGGATAGAAGCCAAGTCAGTTGACTTAGTTCTTTGATTTATTTTCTGCCTTTTCCCCATTACTGGTATTCGCAATGGCGCATAACAAGATTAAACCACATACAGGTTAATACAGGTACAGACAAATCAGGACAGTAGAATGTTAAACATAATTAAGTAATTGTATAGTACATTAGTATTCATCTGCATTCAGAGAAAGTCTCAGTCATTTCAGTAATACTTCATTGTGTGTACATTAAAGTTTATTTAATCAAGTAAGCAGCGAATACTGTTATTTTGATGCATATTTGTTTTAGTGTCCTTTTGGTCTTGGAAAGTAGTTTCTACAATTTCTCAAAGCAAATTGGGCTTCTGGTTGATTCCTTATGTATATTGTCAGTCCAATTGTGTGAGATCTTAAACCCAGGAATGATTGAATTGCAGCCTTTGGGTTGCATGTAGACCTCACACCCATTTTTGCACTTATTTTAGGTAATAAAGTTTATATTAACCTGAAAACACACTGGCTTGCTTCCAATTTCAAAACCCTAGTCCCAAGTAACCATGCAGGAATATCCAAAATTGGTGGAAAAGGAACTGAGAGTGATTTAACATCACTTCTGATTTATCAGCAGTGCCCTGATTTGCCAAGGATGGCAGAAGCAAAACATTGCCCTCCAACCACGTGTTTGTTCCTGCTTTAACCATTCATTAAGGTGCAGGATGGTGTAGGTTGCCTTTTTTTAGCTTATGTCTTTCAACTTTCTCTCTCTGTCTGTATTTCTATGTTTTATTCCAAAACCAATTCTGGACCTTTCCAAGTTGGAAGTTCTGTGCGTATGCACGTGCCTTTTAGTGATCCCCGAATGTTGACCTATATATCCTGTCAGAAGTATACTGTTATCTTTAAAGAATTCTGACAAAGAGATTGCGTTTACATTTTTCTAGCTTCTTGTTTGCTCTTCTAGGTTAAACCTCCACCCCCCCCCCCAAACAAACCCTGTCATGATACTGCCATATCTGTCACGCAATCCTTTTTTTTGCAGAAAAATATTCCCTTTGACTTAAAATTGTGAGGTGCAGCATATTTGCATCTGTTGTTTTAAAGAAAAAAACAGCCCAGCAATGTGTGTTGTCTAATCTCAGAAGCCAAGCAGGGTCAAACCTGTTTAGTACCTGAAAGAGACACAGCCAATGAAGGCCAAGTATTCTAAGCTATATTATGAAGAAGTTAATGGTAATACATTTCTAACTATTCCTTGTTTAAAAATCCCCTATGAAACTCCCTGAGATCGTCATAAGTAGAGAGGTGTCTTGAAGGTAGATATGTTTACTTTTTAAAGCATCCAGTTCTCACATTTCATCTGTAAAGACTGAGATTAGAGATCACTTCATTTGTGGCCAATTACATTAATAAGGAAGATTATATCTAACTAGCTGTACCCTGCCATGCGTTGCTGTGGCCTATAGTAAATCTTTTCAAAGTAGAGGTAGATATCTGGAGTATTATGAAAGAGAGGTACCTTCCTATTCCTTCCCCCTTTTTCTCCCCCTTTCTCTCCTTTCTTCCTTCTCTATCTCTTTCTTTCTTTCTTTCTTTCCTTCCTTCCTTCTTTCGCTCCTTGGTTTCATCCTTCTCTCTTTCCTTCATTCTCTCCCCCTTTCTTCCTTTGCCTCCTTTCTTCCCTCCATGTTTCCTTCTTTCATTTTTTATTTCCTTTCTCTTTCCTTCTTTCCCTCTTTCCTGCCTTTCCTTTCCTTTTTTCTTCCTTTCTACTTTCTCTCTTCCTTCCTTCCTGTTCCTCTTTTCTCCTTCCCTCCTTCTTTCCTTCCTTGCTTACCAAACCTTTTCTCTGTTGGGTCATGGGAGTCCTGTGTGCCACGTTTGGTTTAATTCCATCGTTGGTGGAGTTCAGAATGCTTTGATTATAGGTAAACTATAAATCCCAGCAGCTTCAACGGAGGGGGGTGGGAGGAGGAGGAGGAGTGCAGGGACGGGATGTCAGTGGGTGTGGGCAGGGCTTCAGCAGAGGGGGTGGGTGGGAGGAGGAGGAGTGCAGGGGCGGGGCGTCGGTGGGTGTGGGCAGGGCTTCGGTAGAGGGGGTGGGAGGAGGAGGAGTGCAGGGGTGAGGCGTCGTTGGTTGTGGGCGGGGCTTCGGCAGAGGGGGGTGGGAGGTGCGGAGAGTGCGTTGGCCGTTTGGCCATGTGTGCGCGCCGGGGACTTTGCGCCATTGCGCATGCTCAGTTGTTTTGTCCTTTTGTGAGTGTGTTGTTGTGTTGTTTTTTTATTTTGATTTGATTTGTTTGTACCTTGTGGGTTGAGGTATGTGCATGGGAATTTTGGTTAATTTTCGTTGGGTTTTTTTTTGAGTTTTGCTGTCCCGTTAGACGCCCCTTACAGATTTATATATATAGATAATAGATGTATATAAACATTCAGATTAATAATGTATGGAAACAGTTTTGTGGATTATGACATTCAGTGTTTCTCATGCTGTCTGATAATTGTTGGTGGTGGCATTTTCCTCTCCTAATGTGTAAATGACTGATGCCATAGCTGTACCCACTGGGCTACAATGGTTTCTTTATTTTTTTGGAAACTCTTCGTGGATTGGCAGCTGATGTCTCACATTTTGACACTGGTCCATAGACAACCACTTTGAGTAGCCCTGATATAGTTATTACATTATAATGGGCCTCCTGGTGGCACAGCGGATTAAATCGCTGAGCTTCTGAACTTGCTGACTGAAAAGTTGGCAGTTCGAACCCAGGGAGCGGAGTGATCTCCCGCTGTTAGGCCCAGCTTCTGCCAACCTAGCAGTTCAAATGTTAGTAGATGAATAGGTACTGCTTTTGAGGGAAGGTAACAGCGCTCCATGGAGTCATGCTGGCCATATGACCTTGGAGCTATTTACATACAAAGCTGGCTCTTCGGCTTAGAAATGGAGATAAGCACCACCACCCCGGAGTCAGACATGGCTAGACTTAATGTCAGGGGAAATCTTTACCCTTACTTATTCTTGCATGAAAAGGAAATTCCTTTGGCTATATTACTCTTAAATTCAAGAACATTAATTTTAGCATTATGTGTGAATATTAAAACAGGAATCCAGACTGAGCCCAAACCAGATGTTACTCAGATGAGGAAAAAACCAATCAGCAGTGAACCTGAGCTACTACTTGAAAGTTTGTGTTCAAGTTAATCTAACAGGGGCTTTTAGTGGCTGTTTTTAGTTGCTTTGAAACTTCCAGCTAAAGAAGGACAGAATAATCTCATATGTATCCTTCATGTGGCAGGCTGATTTAGTTTGAAAGTACAACAAAATTCTCATGCTGAATAAATTTCGATACTGTTGTATCTCAAATGTTCACCTCATTTCCCACAGTATGCATAATGCACATATTTGGTAGCAGTACATAAAAACATTTTTACACATGTTATAAATACAATGGATATCGAAAATGTAAAAATGTTCATTATAGTTTATAAAGCGTGATAACGGTGAAAATGTAGCAGAAGTTCTACAGCATATTTTTTCAAGTCTAAAATATTTATATAATATTTATTTTATATAATGATTATGTGCTTATGTATTAAAATAAGAATAATTAATTAATCAAAATCTAAATATCTAAACAATAATAGAAAGTTAGGCTGGTTCTCATCACTATGTTTTTTGGGTTTTTTTTGTTTTGTTTTTTTGTTTAGCTGTCATGGATGAATTAGCTGAAGATGATATTGATATTTTGAACCATGAAAAAGCAGACCTTCATCATAAGAGAGATGGAGAAATTCCCATTCCAATTTATACAGGTGAAGAGTCTGTTGCTTCACATTTTGCACTTGTCACTGCTTATGAAGACATCAAAAAACGGCTAAAAGAATCTGAAAGAGAAAATTCACTCCTAAAGAAAAGAGTTAGAATGTTAGAAGAAAAAGTAAGTATTTGTTTAGCACATTTCTGTTATATTGCATGAGAATGTCCATTTTTATTTTTGATATTAGTAATAGGAATTGGTAACATTTTAAAGCTCTGAAAAGAATTTTTCTGCCACACTTAGTTAGCATTTATTTTCAGTTATGGCTAGGATATTTTTTAAAGCAACATGCTTATTTTCAATCCATAGCCTAAGATAACTAACTGTGAAATGTGCCAAAGCTAACAAATTTGTCTTAATGTTGACACTAGTGAAAATATAATAATCTCATTCTGATCTTTTAGCTACTTGGTTCTCATTTGGAAGAAACAACAAGCCCTGTAGGTCGTGAGCAAGTTAACAAAGCATACCAAGCATATCGAGAGGCTTGTATTGAACGAGATAATCTGAAAAGTAAACTGGATAAAATGGTATGTTTTTGTGCCATGGGTTAAAACGAAATTGAATATTCTATGGCTGCAGTGGTGGAAAGATATCGTAATTTCTAGAATAAACAAGTGTAGCATGCCTGGCCACTAGAGCAAATACTTTCTCGTCATTCTAGACAATAAAAATATTGGGTTTAGTTGAGTAAGCATTAAAATCATGTTGATCTAATGTAGGATTTTAGCATACATTCAGATATTTTAACTTTTTATTTACTGAAATTAGATTGAAAAGTTCTTATTTATGACTAAGTTCATACCACATGTGTTCTTTTTCTGTTGATAAACTTCATGGAAGGGAAATAAATCACTGGAATAAAAATAAGTTTGGATTAATGTTAAATATTACATTTAAACACATATAGCTATATAAACATAAAAATAAGTAACATCTGGAACAAAGTATGCAGTGCTTCCTTAGCCTTTCAGAATTCCAGTCAACCTTGCCTTTCTAAGGATATTATCAGCTTGTCATACTATTTGATGTAATGCACCACAGTTGTTTTCCTCACTGTGCCAGAGACCAGTACTGTATTCATGATGTATTATTGTCATATTCAGTTAGTTTCCTGGAAAGGTGTTATGAACTGGCACTGATCCACTACTTTGATAGCATTGCTGTAAGGTATTCAGACTGGCCAAGTCACTCTCCCTCTTCCATTTCCCCAGCTTTTAGTTTGTCTTTTCCAGCTGATTCTCAACACTGTTGTCTCTAGAGGTCACTAAGGCTGCCCTGCCTTGTTTGGCTGCAGTTTGTCACACTCCACCCCTTTAATGTTTTGTACATTTGCAAATCTCGGGATTCACCCATGCATATAAATACTTCCCTCTTATTTCTCAGTGGCCCATTTTGGCTCCAGTCCTGTTGGCAATACATCTTGTGTTTACTATTAGAGAGAATAAGGTTAGGTTTTACACAGAGGTTGAAAATGCATGGAAATAAGTAGAGCAAGTGTCCAAATGTATGTTTAAAGAAATCTGCTAGCATGGTGCAGACTGTTTGGAAGGTAGGGAACAAATTACTTACAAAAAGCTAGTGATTACACTAGAAACGTTCACTAGCTGCCTCAGGTAAATTTGGCTTAGTGGTGAGATGTTATTTGTCTAAGCATCAACACTCTTTGGCAGAGAAGTAAAGCGCTTGTAAAATTACACAGAGTTAAAGTAGTGTCAGACTGCATGACCTCTACAATGTAGGTGCACCCTAAATCTCTGATAGCGCTGTCACTCTCCATGAAAAGCTAGTTGGCATTTGTCCCCCAGTATTTCAGTGTGTGTTGACTTTATTATTAACAATTACAATTTGGATAGAAAATATCCTGACAGTATGTCCCTCCCTCAAATAGATAAAAGAAAATTCTGAATCTTTGCAAAACATGAATGAGCAGTTGCAATCTAAAGAAATCGAACTGCTGCAGCTAAGAGCGGAAGTGGAAACTGAACGAGGTATGCGTTGTTGATCAAAGTATAAATGTATGTGCTTGACTACAGGGCTGCACATTCAAAACATTGTCACTCACTGTCTCTTGTTCCTCTTCTAGTTTGGTTTCTACATAGCTTATTGCAATGGTGTCCTATTAAACAAACACAGTGCAGTGGCTCTTAATATTTATTGGTGACATTACTGTTGCTATGACTGTATTACCAACATTTCCTTCACAAGCCATGATACTGTATTTGGAGAAGAGAGATTGTCTCTACTTCTAGGCATACTTTTAGATACATTTGTGGGGAATACTTTGTAATAATAAATTTCTCTAGCTTTCAGTTTAGGGCAATGTTTATTGCTCACATTCCTATTCTATTTATACATTATCTTTCAACAGATTAACAGGACAGTCTGCAGAAAGTTCAAATTGTATCTGAAAAATTAAATTAGATATGAAAACAAAACATTAAAGCATCAGATTTTAAAGCAAATGCTGTCAGTAAAGAAGTGTCTAGATTTTTTTTCAAAAGCCTGTCCCAATCTGAAACCTGGCTGCAGTTTTTTGGACCTGCTGGAGTTTCTCTGCAGTTTCCAAAGGCATGGAGCAGGAGTCTCCAAACTAAGGCCCACAGGCTAGATAGAGCCCTCCAAGTTCATTTACCCAGCCCCGGCCCTAAACATTAGATTGAGGATCTTCCTAAATCTGAAATGACTTCAAGGCACACAACAGCAACAATCCTAATTAACTTAACTATCTCATCATCCAAAAGCAGGCTCACACTTCTCACTGAAATACTGGTAAGTATATGTTGATAAAAATTGTTCTTTATTTTAAATATTGTATTGTTCTTATATGGAGTTTTTTGCACTACAAATAAAATATGTGCATTATGCAATGAAATTCATTCATTTTTTAAAACTGTAGTCTGGGCCCTCAACAGTCTGAGGGACTATGACCTAGCCCTCTACTTACAAGTTTGAATATCCCTGGCATAGCACATGTTAACAGTCTTCCAAATAATCTGTTATGGCATTATGGAACTGGTGAATATTATCAGAATCTTAGCTGAATATTTTAGCCCTCATCCTAGTTTCCATTAATATTGGATCAAACAGTGCTCTGGACACCTTCATAGACTGAAGTAAACTAGTATATGATGTTCCCTTGCAAAAGAATTAAGTCATTTCACATTCAAACTGTCTTTCAGACTTGTTAAAGTATACCCAGAGATCTGTCAAGGTTTTAAGAGGTAATTGTAGAAGGGACTTTCCTAAATATCTGAAGAGGTATTATGTACCAGAAGAAGGTGCTAATTGTGTCAAAATATTTAGTCATGATACATGATCCTTCCTCTGGTTTACTTTCAAAGACATAGAAACTGACAGCAAGCACATGCAGTCCCCAAGTTACAAACATCCAACTTAGAAACTACCCATAGTTAAGAATGAGGGTGAGAGAAATCTGCCCCTCAGAAGGGAAATTCACTCCTGAAAGAGGAAAAGGGTGTCCACTGAAGCTTTTTCACCAATCCTTTCACCAATTTGGCTTGTTTCCAGAACAAGCCAAATTTTGCAAAATCCAGTTCTCACTGACAGAAAGTGATTTGAAATCTTCTGAACACAGACAGCAAAACAAACACCACAGGGATGTTAACCCTTCCCTATGCTATTTAAAGCATATGTGTATGTGTGTCTGGCAGGAGTTGCACTTTAAAAATGCACCTGCTCTGACATACATACAAATTCAGCTTAACTACTAACCTACAGTGCCTATTTTGCTAGTAATTTGAGTACTGCCTGTACATAGAAAATACTTTTAAAAGCTAAATTATCATGGGAAGAGTTATACACATAAAGTAATGATGCCAGAAATGTCTCTAGGAAAATGGGTGAATTTTATTGCAATCTTCAACAAAATTATAAGGAAATAAATCCAATAGATCCATTTGATTTAAAATAAAAGTCATGTAGCAAGTTTTGTATGAAACTGATACAAAAAGAAACATTGTATGTATCCGAAATCTCTGGATACCCAAATGAGTTTGGATGACTCGTTTTGTCCAATTATTTCAAAATAAATAATTACAGTACAGCCCACGTTCCTGCTGATCTGCTACCTGTGATTTCACCTACCTGCATCTAACAAAATACGTCCTCTGTAGGAATTTTCTACATCCTGCAGTTGATTCTACGGTTTGCTTATATCAGAGGTTTCTGTAGACTTAGATTGGAGAACCTAGCAAATTTCTAGAGAGGATAGCTCTTTGGGAATTTGTAGGTCCTTCAGGGTAACTCCATGGTAACTTCCAGTGGAAATTATTCACTTCAATGGGGTTCATTGTTATCCATGGTTTCTGCTTTCAAAGTAAGTTCAGAAACATTTTCCCTGTGGATATAGCTGTCAAACTATATGTTATTAGAAATACGTAATGTGTTCTTCTAGAAGTGTGATGTAAATTTTCCATTTCAAATTATACACTTTGATTAATGAAAGATTCTAGGGGTCAGTTTTAGTAAATCAGCATTTGTAGAATCAAGTTTATTAGTCTAAAATAACCATTGTCATATGTTGGTTGTTAATGGTGTAGGTTTTTTATATAACAGGGAAACTGCTTATACAGAGTTCTGAAAATCAAATGAAAACTTAAGTTCTGATAGAGTTTACCTTATTTCTTGGCAGTGCTGAAAAGTTTGAGTTCAAACCCATCTGACTGGGAAATAGACAAACTAAATAATGCCCTGAAGGTGCATAGTTTGGAGAAAGATTTGGAGAGTATGAGAGAAGAATGCAACACTCTTAGAAAAGAGCTACAACAATCTTTACAGAAGGTAGTATTGTATTACGAATTTGTTATTAAGATGGGGAGAAGGTGCATTAATTTCTAAAATTTAATGTTGGAAGCTCCACAGTCTAGTAATTTGTGGATCTTCTCTTGTCTGAGAATAAGATACTAGCCTGCATGGGAAATGTGGATAAATCAACCTTAGCTTATGGAGCCCCTGGCGCAATGGGTTAAACCCTTGTGCCAGCAGGACTGAAGACCGACAGGTCGGAAGTATGAGTCCAAGGAGAGTGCGGATAAGCTTCCTCTGTCAGCTCCAGCTCCCCTTGTTGGGACATGAGAGAAGCCTCCCACAAGGATGGTAAAATATAAAACATCCAGGTGTCCCCTGAGCAATGTCCTTGCAGACAGCAACTTGCAGTTTCTCAAAGTCACTCCTGACATGAAAAAAGCTTGTGAGCTGTATGAAAAGACTACAGTGCATATGCTTGTCTGCCCATTCAGCAACTTTAGCAAGGCTTTTGATGATAGTCCTCATGACATTCTTGACCAGATAAATGTTTGCATTAGCAGATGTTGCTTGAAGCTGGACACGTAGTTGATGTCAAATCCTTAGTCAGGGAATAAAGAATTAGCAGTTTGGCAAAAGGTACAGAATAGAATTTGTGGCAATGTCTTTTATTAATGAAAGTCTAATAATTTACAAGAAGATGTTAGAACTGTGGTCCTTTGCTTGACAATGTCATGCCATTTTGAAACATGTTTGTATGCCACTCAGTATACAAATAATATAATTTCTATATAATTTCAGAAATTTTTGAAACAATTTTGTTCTTTCTAATTCTTCTGAGCTGATTTTTCTGAGCTGATTACTGTTAGCACTGTTTTGGTTACTAGAAGATACAACTTAGCTTGGTTTGTGTTTTTCAAGTAGCGGAAACTGAGGCTGGATCTACAATGCCATATAATGCAGTTTGTACAGCACAGTTAAACCACATTATATAGCTCTACACTACCCAAATAATGCAGTTTTAAACTGCATTATATGGCAGGGTAGACTCAGCCTAAATTGCAGATTTGAGGTAAGGCCACTAGATGGTGCTAAAAGCAAACCTTTAACTTGAACTGAAGGTTACCTTGTTACCTGTAGGGGGAATTGGGATCTTTATCAATCTGCTGCTTCAGATTTACAAAGCATATAATTTGTAGCAGTTAGGTAATTCGTGTACATGTTGCAGTAACACAATATTTTGTTACTGTTTTGTTATTTGTGTTGTTAAATAGTCATGCTATTATGTTTCTGTTAAACTCTCATTTGTAAAATATGTCATGTCTCAAGTGAGTTATCTAGAATCAGCTTAATTAAATTAAAGCTAATATTTAAATCCTGAGGTTCATGTTTCTGGTACAGTGGTGCAATGTTTCTGGTACAATGGTAGGCTGGTTTATAGCAATGCTAGAGAATGTAAATGGAAAGATGTTATAGCCACTAGCTGCTAAATAAATATAATAATTTTGAAAAAGCCAGTAATTAAATCTTATTTCTTTTCAGGCTGAAACCCAGGAAGGAACTTTAATAAATGGAGAGTTTTCCCAGCAGCAGGATATTCATAGGTATGATGACCCCTGGAATTCCTTTAATATTTATTATAAAACTACAGTACAGTCAGTTTCTGTAAGTCATCCAACCTGTATTTGTTCACTCCAAAGAAGACTGGTTTGATTCAGAACAAAGTTGTGACAGACCTAACCACAGCCAGCCATTCCTTAGTGTCATTCAGGGCACCATATATGATGTTTTAGTGTGTGGCTGTACAGGACGAATATTCAGCCTTGACAACTGGCCCAAAATGCATCTTTAAGACATTCTATGGAACATGTAATTTTGATCTGAGGTAACCTTATTGGTTATCTCATTGTTGTTGCTTTCTGGGTCCAACCCTGAATGTGGAATTTAAACCTTAAAGCCTTGATTCCAATCCTTGGTTTCCCAAAAGTTGTTGGATTTCAGCTCTCAGAAACACCAGCCTGTATGACCAGTCGTAAAGGATTTAGGAATTGTAGTTACTTAACATGTAAGGACCCACAGATTGGGAGCAGAACCTTTATGGCTGAAGTATTTGGGCAAAAATTAATAGTAATCTCAAATACTGACTTATGCCACATATAGGCATTGAGAAGCCTTCGTGTTTGTTCTGTTTCAATCAGGAGCACAGTGGGTAGTTATACTAGACAAGGCCCTTTTCAATGGTTATACCAATGCTGTGAAATCATACTCTTGGGATGCTTCTCTCACTTTCAGCCAGACAGTTTTTTTGGTGATTAGTGAAAATAATTTTTTATCATAGAAGCAAACAGTTTGGAGTAGACGGATTTGTTTTGTGCTTACAGCTGTTGGTTATTTATTTTGTGAATACCTACTGTGTGATGTCTAATGTTCTGTTGATATTCTGGGTTGGATCCAGATGGAATTGGACTTAGATGAAATAATTGAAATCAATATGGCTTATGTACATTCTGTTGATTTTAGTGGGCTTTTTATGTATGTGTAAGTGTAGATCTGAGTTATTGCTGTCATTTTGGGGTTGAAATACATTACAATAAGGTGGTATGGTGTAAAATATTTTGTATATAGATAATGAACTGTGACACAAACTTTGAAGCCAAGAGGTTATGGTTATTGAAGTATATTATCAAGTCTAACAAAGGCAGTCCCTAGGTTATGAACAAGATACGTTTTGTAGGCTTGTTCTTAAGTTGAATTTGTATGTAAGATAGAAGAGTTAAATTTTTGAGTGTTCACTCACCCATATATATATATATATATATATATATATATAGAGAGAGAGAGAGAGAGAGAGAGAGAGAGAGAGTGTTTTGGCTAGCATAGTAAAGGTAAAGGTTTTCCCTTGACATTAAGTCCAGTCATGTCCAACTCTGGGGTGTGGTGCTCATCTCCATTTCTAAGACAAAAAGCTGGCGTTGATCATAGACACCTTCAAGGTCATGGCCGGCATGACTGCATGGAGCGCCGTTACCTTCCCACCAGATTAATCTACTCACATTTGCATGTTTTCGAACTGCTAGGTTGGCAGAAGCTGGGGCTGACAGCGGAAGCTCACGCCGCTTCCCAGATTTGAACCTGCAACTTTTTGGTCAACAAGTTCAGCAGCTCAGCGGCTTAATTCACTGTGCTACTGGGGGTGCCACCGGGGGCTAGCATAGGGAAGCGTTAAAACCCCTGTAATATTTCTTTTACTGTCTGTGCCCCTGTTCAGAAGATGTCACCTCACTTTCTGTCCCTGTGACAATTGGATTTTGAAAATTTTGATTTGTTGTGGAAACAAGGATTTGTGATAAACCTTCAGTGGAGACACTTTTTCCCATAATAGCTTTTCCAGGAGTGACTTTCCTTCTTAGGAGTAGATTTTTTCTCACTTCCTGTTGTCTCAACCCCATTTGTAACAAGAAGTTGTTTGTAAGTTGGATGTTTCTAACTCAAGAACTGCTTGTAATAGAATGAAAACTGTAGAAATGGATCCAGTAGCCATTGCTAATGCCCTTCCTTTTCTTCACATCCTACATATGTTTATAGACGTTATGTGGTGAAGTTTCTGATTATTTGAAGGTTTCAGTCATTTATTTCTTTGATTCTCTTACAATATATTAACACTATCTAAGAAATAACTCTTTGGGAGATGTCTTCCCAAAACTATGTGAGAATTCATGTGGTTTTTGAGAAGTAGGAAGTTTGTCTTTATCATACTTTAAATGGACAAGTTTGTATTTATGAAGCTTACAGTTGATGTTATCATCATCATGGGATAAGGATTTTAGTTATTGCTTTGTAAGGTGGTACACAAAGAAGAGAGTCAAGGCATCTAAAACAAGCAATGCTCCGAGAAGTATAGAGGTTGGATTTACATGTTAACCAGTGACCTATGTTTCAAAGTCCTGCTTATGTGATGTTGTGTAGTTAAGCTTTCAAATTCCACATACTAAGAAAATACATTAAGGCATACTTACTGATATTTCCACTCTTCAAAAATGCATTTTTCTTGTTTTCCACATGAGGGAGAAGTAAGACCTGATTGGAAGAGGTCATTTTATTATTACTTTGTGGGTTACATCAAAAAATAAGGAGGATGGAAGAAAATCTGAGTATATAGACTCCATCTGTGTTAATAATTTATACACATACACTTTAATCACAGCTATTCATTTTAATTACTTGGTTAAAGTTTCTATTTTTCCAAAGCAGTATTATGGTAGCTATTTGGTGAGCATTGCTGGGAGTCGCACTGTATTCGGGAGAGTTTTGTTTTCAAGAAGCATTTCTTGGGTATGCAAATTAGCACATACACACTTTGCCTGTGAAAACAAGTCCACAGCTCTTTTGACACCCAAAGAAAGTTCTTTGAAATGTTTGTTGCGGCAAGTAACCTTTGATTTAATTTGACTGTCAGGATTCATTTACCTGATATCCTTGTGAAATAGTTGTCACTTGTCAATGACACATGGCATTTCTTTGATCAAATATGTGTGTGTATTTTTTTTTACTTCAAAACAGTTAAGTTCCAAATGTAGTGGTGACTGAATATTATTTTAACCCGATTTACAAAATTTGTGGTATGGATTTTCTACATTATTTTTATTACTGCCAGAAGTGTAGTGTAGTTACAAGTCTTTTTCTACTCATCAACTATTGTGCATCTGAGGAAAATGAAATAATACTAGAAAATCAGTCTTAAAGGAATGCAGTTATAAAATTAAAAGAAGCTGTTTATTAGAGAAAAATCTTGGCATTTTTGTAGTGCTTTCTGGTTATATTGGTAACCTCGTCATCTCGCTAGAGTTATTTTTGCAGATCTTCTGAATTTTCTAAAAGTTTAAGATTTTATTTCAATGAAGTTTAATGCATACACCTCAAACCAAAAGTCTGTATTTCAAAAGACTAAACTCTCTGTGATTATAATGAACTAGCTGTCCCTTGCCACGCGTTGCTGTGGCCCAGTCTGTTGTTCTGGAAAATAAAGTAATGAGAAAGTCTTGGTTTCTAATATATGCAATTTATTTTTGCTTGTGGGTAAACAGTATTTATTGCCGTTTCTTTGTCAGTGTTGATGTAGAGTGTGTCTGGTTTGCCCACCATGGAACATGCAACATATCATTGTCCTTCTTTAGGGCTCCCTTTCAAATCTATAACACTATATCTGTGTGTGAATCATATCTATCTATCTATCTCTGGCTGGATGGCTCTTTGTCGGGAGGACTTTGATTACGTTTTCTTGCCCTGGTGAAAAGAGTTGGACTGGATAGCCTCAAGTATTTTCTGTTGGTCGTGGGGTTCTGTGTGGGAAGCTGTTGTTTGTGGGGTTCAGAATGCTCTTTGATTGTAGGTAAACTGTGAATCCCAGTGACTACAAATCCCAAATGTCAAGGTTTATTTCTCCCAAACTCCATCTGTGTTCATATTTGGGCGTATTGAGTATTTGTGCCAAGTTTGGTCCAGATCCATCATTGTTTGAGTCCACAGTGCTCTCTGGATGTAGGTGAACTACAACTCCCAAACTCAAGATCCATGCCCACCAAACCCTTCCAGTATTTTCTGTTGGTCATGGGAGTTCCGTGTGCCAAGTTTGTTTCAATTCTATAGTTGGTGGAGTTCAGAATGCTGTTTGATTGTAGGTGAACTATAAATCCCAGCAACTACAACTCCCAAATGACAAAATCATAATTTTTGAGTGATGGTCACTCCTTGTGTTGTGAGACATTTTGTTGCCAAATTTGGTGTGATTTCATTCATTGTTTCTTTTGTTTTTAAGGTACTCATTATGCACAGAGCATTTTTTTATATATAGATGATAAAATTTGGCTCTTGAATAAGTGGGGACCTACAATGCATTAAATATATCCAAGCTAAATCCAGCATTAAGAAAAGTGATTTGTTCATAGTGCTTGCTGCCAAGTTAGACAATAACTGGCTTAATTGTTGTTTGATAATGATTAAAAAATATCCAGTATTTAATATGACAAGTTCATCAGATAGTGGTAGCTGGCATTCAGGGTGGCTAGCGTGCGGACAGATCGAAAGAGTAAGGGAGATGAGAATAATCTAAACTTCTAGTTTTGAGCCTTCAGTTTTAGGAAAGCCTTTAGGCTAACATGATTTTAGATAGGTGGAATTCACTAGAAATCGTATGCACGGAATACCACTTTGGTATCTGGATTTTGTAGCTGAAGGTATATTTGCTGCTGTACAAACTAGTATTTTTGCCTGCTGCCCTCTTATTATCTTTCTCTGTATTGTCATTACTGAAGTGATGAAGATACATATCGGTAATGGAAATAGATCTTTGTTCCAGAGATTCCATCACTTTACCTGCCCAGAGCTAATGAAAACATTTTCAGTAATGTAGGGAAACCTCTATAATTTGCTGTGTGTATGGTTTTGGAGACCCAAAAATGATGGAAATCTTGCGGAAAAGTCACATTCAGTCCATTTTTGGAACACTTGTGGTTTATGAAGCAGTTGAGTTGTTACATGGTAACTGATTAAGATTTATGCTAAGTATCATCAGCATAATAGGATTCTTTCTCCTAGACCTCAGCCTTTGATAGTCTGAATAAATGAGAACAACATATCTCATTTATTGAGCAAGATGAGAGTGCATCTTGTTCTTTGAAGTATTCTGATAGTTATAAATTGCATTTTCACAGAAATTAGATGTTCCTTAATTGTGGTTTTCTTTTCTCATTACAAGTACTGCTAACATTTGTTCAGGTATAGTTTAAAAGTGACAGCTGCAACATAGTTGTTGGAAAGTCTTCTGTCCTCATAAAGGGATTTAATATTCAGGAATTCAATATCCATTATATCACTAACCCACACTCCTAAAAAATATCTCCCAACCCAAGAAGTATTAGTGGGTTTCTCTAAATCTTCCATTGTGTTTATGTGGTATTCTTCAGGCTGAAGTGTAATCAAAATATAGCTTTTGTTTTTATCCACTGTTTCAGGTATCTATGGGGGCCCATGGAATGTATCCCCTGTAGATATGGGCTTTGAACTGTAGTCATATTCATTGCTTCAGTAAGCTTGGATCAGGTCTTGTAGTGGCATTCTTGCCTTGAGGGAGAAAGGAGTTTTAGGAGCAGCAAAGGTATAAATAAAGGATCTCTCACCATATGTTATACCTGCTGTTTTGCCTAAAGGGTTATTGGCTCCAATCTGAACATTTTGTAGCTGGAACAAGGGGAGCATGTGCAGTTTTGGTGACTGAACCATGCATATCAGAAGTGGATTTATTTATTTATATACGACATTTATATGCCACTCTTTTCACTCTGAAGGGGTCTCCGAGCAGCTTACAAGTTATATGTGCATACATTATATTACTAGGTGTACCCACCACACGTTGCTGTGACCTACCTTCCTTCTCTCTTTCTCTACTTTTGCTCCCTTTCCTTCCTTCCCTTATTTTCTTTCCTTCTCTCCTTCCTTCCTTCTCTACCCTTTTCTTTCCTCCCTCCCTTTTCCTTCTCTTTTCTCCTTTCTTCTCTACTTCCTTCCTTCCTTCCTTCCTTCCTTCCTTCCTTCCTTCCTTTGCTCATTGTTTCCATCCTTCCTTCTCTCTTTCCTTTTCTTTCTTTCTTTCTTTCTTTCTTTCTTTCTTTCTTTCTTTCTTTCTTTCCTTCTCTCCCTCTCCCTTCCCTTTTTTCTGTATTGTCATTTAGCTTTTCATTGTTTAGCTTTTGGGGGTTTTTAAGTCTTTTCCACTGCTTTTTGGAGGTTTTATGAGTGATGGTCACTCCTTGGTCTGTTAGGGGTATGGTGTCCAAATTTCATGTCAATTCGCCCAGTGGTTTTTGAGTTACGTTAATCCAACAAACAAACAGTACATTTTATTTATATAGATAAGCATAGCACAATATTAATATTATAAATTACTATATTGTACTATACCACTATACTGTAGTATTAGTAGTAATATACATTATCAATGTTATATGTGTATATAATATATTATATTAGCACAGCACAATATTAGTATTATATATTACTACATTATAATCTACCACTATACTGTAATATTACATGTAATATAAAATATATAACTATTATATTATTATTAGTATTACAGTATTCCTTCACTTATCGCGTGTGTTATGTTCCAGGACCATCTGCGATAAGTGAAAATCCGCAAAGTAGGGATGCTCCTCTTTCCCCTCCCCTCCTCCTTCCCCGAAGGAAGGAAAGAAAGCAAGCCATCCTCCTCCTTTCCCCCCCTCCTCCTTCCCTGCGCAATCTTCTGATGCCTTCAACTTGCACAACTCCAAACCTTTGGAAAGGAAGCAAGCCCTCCTTCTCCTCCTCCCTTTCCCCCTCTTTTTTCCTGCTTGTGTGGGGAAGGAAATGAAGCAAGCCCTTCTCCTCCTTTTCCCCCTCCTCCTTCCCCACACAATCTTCTGGTGCCTTCAGCTTGCACAACTCCAAACCTTTGGAAAGGAAGCAAGCCCTCCTCCTCCTTTTCCACCTCCTCCTTCCCCGTGAAACAGCAAATCTGTGGAAAGTGAACCGCGATATAGCGAGGGAACACTGTATATTGCATTACATTATAATATTATTATCAATATTATATGTGTATACAATATATTATTAGCACACCACAATATTAGTATTATATATTACTATATTGTTGCTGGTGGTGGTGGGGTGGGGCTCCCAACTGATGACCCAGGAGACACGGTGGGCTTGTGTCTTCCTGGCTCCTCTTCTTCACTCTGCCCCCAGAGTGGCCGTTGGTGCTTATGTGGCCTTTCCAATGTTGTTGAACTGTAGTCTTAGCCAGCATAGTGAGGGATACTGAAATTCAGCTTGGCCGTATCTGGTGGGGCTGAACAAACGTGGTACAGAGGGGTGGCTGTTTAACTCTGAAGTATGAATAGTCTCCCTGATCCATCAGGATTGTTTCTCTAAGATGTCAGAAGCTTGAACCAGTCACTTCCTTCTCTAACCCTTCTCTCCATTATCATAACCTTTTCTTTTGGTGACTCCTAATACTCTGTTAGTTTTTCTTGACACCTGATTTCACGATAGATTTTTGTCTGCCTTGACATCTAGATTTAAAAGAAAAATACTTTTCTCAAGTGGCTTCAATCATTCATGTGAAGGTTGCTACTGGACAGTTTGATAATTTAAAAAAAAGGTCTAATTTTCAAATATAGGAAGCCCCCAAGTATTTGGCTCTCTGGCTGATAGCAAAATTAGGTGGCAAAGCATGTGTTGGATGTTGTAGCTCTAAAACACTATTTCATTTAGAAGTCTTACCACTTAGATATTGGTTTCTTCCTCTTTTTTGTCTGTTTTATTTGGGAATAACAATACACATTTATATAGCACGCTCATTTCTCTGTGACTATATAACAAGTGCACTAGCAGATGTATTGAAGGCTGTTTCATTTATGTTTTAAGGAATGATTTTAAAAAATAGGGATAGTTGTTGGTGCTAAGAATAGTGTAGCCTCTACACCAGTCCTGGGCAAACTTGAACCCTCTAGGTGTTTTGGACTTCAATTCCCACAATTCCTAACCGCCTACCAGCTGTTAGGAATTCTGGGAGCTGAAGTCCAAAACACCTGGAGAGCCAACGTTTGCTCATGCCTGCTCCACTTATAAGTGGTGTATTTACAAATTATAGATGTTGAGGCAGTTACTGCTGAAAAGCGATCAGTGTGGTCTATTCCTGGTGCTCAAAGATATCTGGCTGTTGGCTGCTGGAAGAGGTATGCTGGGCTAGGTGAAACTTTGTCTCATCTAACCAGGCATTAAACACTTATAATCCCTCAATTCTTTCCTTGGAATTGACAACTTGGCTCCACCAACTACAAAGAAAAGCTGATGTACTTTATGTGCCCTTTTGTAGAACATTGATAAGTAATGCTGCTGGTACCCTGAGAAATTGAGCTTTTTAATGCACTGCAGTACTTTAGAAATAATTGATTATTTTTCATAGTGAGCTGCAAAACTTATTACAATGTCTCCTAACCATCTGTTTTTGATTTGAGAAATTTTCTGTATATTCTGGTTACAGAAATTGAAAAGCCTGCTGAATTTTTCACTTTTTAAATGTATTTTCAGTGTAAATGTGCAGCATGCATACTGGGAATTGAAGAAAGAGATGTCTAATCTACATCTGGTGACTGAAGTACAAGCTGAAATGCTAAAGAAACTGAAACTTATACCATTAGGAACCAGGAAAGGCAAGTCAAGATTTATATAATGTGGTCTTACAAATAAGCCATTGTCTCTAAGCTGTACTATTTTGGAGTGCAGCTTGCTATTTTACCTTATCAAAACCTTACCAGTCCCATTTTTATTCTAGTTCCAAGCTCCCCATTTTCTGTCTTTACTTCTGTCTCATACTGGTCAACTTCACACATAAAGGTGTTGCTGGTGGATTTTTTTTAATGCTGCATTCTCTTCCCTTGTGGCTTTTTTCATCAGTCAAGTGTTACTTATTTGTACGAGGCTGAGGTGTTAAGTTTAGTTGTATTTGACCTTTTACCACAACTACTTCATATAAAAAACACCAAAAGATCTTTCATTTTTCAAATGCCTCTCTCTGCAAATAGTGAATGCTTTTAAGATGCATACAAACCAAAAACTCCAACTGATAATATGTATCCTACATTTCATAATAATTTGCTGGGAGATAGAGTTGTTTCTGACAGCTATTTTGTACAAAATGAAATTTCTACACAGAAATAACTTTGCAAAAAAAATCATTCCTTTTTATAATTTGAAAATTTCCTCCTGAATTTCCCCATGTTTTTTTTAATACTTAAATAACTAGACTTCTTAGCCATCAGAAACTGTAGAAGAGGCATGTGGAATCCCTGCAAGGGCCTAATGGGAATTGTAATCGAATGATATCTGAAGGCCCATATGGTGTGCACCCATGTTGTTTAGACTGATTTCTCTGGCCAACACACATTTTGCTGCTTCAAATGTTAGGCCTCTTTCTGAATCAGTTTTCTGAATCAGTACTTCAGATAACCCCAGGAACAAATCCAAAAACCAAGACACCAAGAAAAAGCATGTAGTTTTGTAGGGCTGTGTTTATAGACTGACCTTTTCCCATACAATTTGGAGTCAAGTCAAATCAAGACAAAACTGTATAGCACGCCCAGGAAGCATGCATTTTATACAGTGGAAAAGGAACATAAGTCAGAGGGACTAACCTCTCCATGCCCCCCACTCCCCAACTCCCTATGATCTGATTTTTGAAGAAAAATTCTAGCTTTCCAGATGATGATGGATTGCTGCTCCCATGAATCCTACTTAACCTCGCCAATAGTGGGAAATACTGAAAACTGCAGTACAAAAATCTCTTGATGACCACAAATTGTCTTCTCCTGGTTTTTCCATTGACTTCCTTTGAAGCAGATTGAGAGGAAGTGTTGCCAGGAAGTGAAGGGTTGCAAATAAGGGTGGATTGGGACAAGTTAACTCTTGGACCTTTCTAATGTTAACCTTTCATACACACATCCCTGAAATATCTATTATTTACCTTGAATATCTGTTATTTACATCATAAATATCTGATATTTAATTTTAGAAGAGTTAAATGTAGAGATTGAGGTTCTTTAGAAACACTTTAAGTTAAGAGAAATAAACATAAGTGACGGGTTGCATTATTAGTCATTCTGATCAGATAAATAAAAACATGACATTTGAGTTTTCAATGCCATTTGTTTAGCTGAAATGCAAGAATATTTTGTTATTTCTACAGTGCCATCGTGTACGCCTCTTCAGTGTGTTGAAGATCTTGAAAAGGATACTGCCAATCTACATTTAGCGGATTATGCAGCAGTTTGCAAAAAAAGGCTACTCCCTCCAAGTGACCAAATTTTCAGCAATTCTGCATCTTCATCACCATGCATTGATGCAAAACCTATTCCAGTTTGTGACTCTGAGTTTCAAGAACACAACTCCTATGGAAAGAGCTCTCTGGAGGACAACTCATGGGTCTTCCCAAGTCCTCCCAAACCGAGTGAGACAATGTTTTGGGAAATGAAAAACAGAGTGTGTCATTTAAACTTTCCAGAAAGCAGTCTGGATCGGTGTAACCAAAACTGCCTGGACAAGAGCTAAGAGCCCAAAAGGAATAACTTGATATAGCTTTGAAGTAAACCTGGAGGGGAAGAGGAGGAAACATTCTAAGCAGGACCTGACTCCTTTCTTATCTACATTTGAAAACAGTCTAGTTAAAACAAAAGAGACAGTAGAAGAAATGCTTACTGTTCAGGAATAAGAACAGTCCTGTGCTCCGACTGCAGATCTGCAGGTTATCCAAGTATTAAACCTCAGAATAAAACAAAAGCTGTGCATTGTTGCAAATTGTGAATAACATTGCTTTGCAATACAGTTATCTTCAGACATTTCTTCACACTGTGAGAGTGTCCCCTCTTTCATTTCCCCCAATAGTTTATCTCCTTTTAAAGCTTCTCAGGTAAAAAATGGAATATGAATTAGCTTTCTCCTCCAGTTGGGACAGCTACTGGCTTTTCATAATGTGTGGTGTGTGCTGCAAAGTAACGGTGAACAATGAATTATTGTGATTGGTTTCAGACAGATTACGAAGGTTATTTCTTGGCTGTGCTTTTCCATTAGCCTCACAGCGAATGATCTGAATTGCTAGAAGACTAAGATTATGCCAAAGTCTCGTCACTGCAGAAACAGGGTAGCATCATAGACAATTAAGGTTATATGCCCCAAGAGAACTGAAATTGCTCTAACTAAATCACAATGATCACTGTCCCAACTTACCAAAATCTTTGTGATTTTTAAGTTCACTAATTGTACTTTCATGTAGGCAGACATTATAATATGAGGATCCACCATTTACCCCAGATGCATTTAATTTTTCTGGAATGCATTTCCGCTTTTGTTATTAAGATGCGTTGAGCATCTAAAATATTATGCCCATAGGTACTTAATATTCAGCTTTCAGATAATTGTGCATCCTATATATCATTACTGGTAGTTTTAGTAGTGAGATCTTTTAATCCACATTGAACTACTAGAAGTAGTAAAAGAAGAAAAAATGAATGCCTTCCAAAGTGCAGAAATTGACATGCTTCCAGTATTATGTTGATCTTAAATATGCAGAAAGCAGTGGCAGGTTTTTTATGTTGGAAAGTTCTGCTGTAGATGTGACACCAAAGGGATAGAACAGCTGCAAGTTTTGCTTATTTTGTGTTAGACTTCCACCTGATCATTCCATTATTTATTAATTCATGACTCCTACATCTTCCTCCTAGCTTCCCAGTTTTGCACTTGAAATAAGAATAAGGAAAAGTAAAATGTAAAATCTGTATATCACTAATAGTTTTGACATGATTTTTTTTAAAAAAAAATAACTCGCCATGGAGGTGTTTGACTTTTTCTTAAGCAGCACAACCACACTGGTGTACTGTGAAAGAGAAAGAAGCGTGTTTTCCTTTCCTTGCATTGCAGGTTGTATGTTTCAGTGCTGGCTGCATTATTCCTTGTCCTCATACTGGAGATAATATAATCTGCAGAGGAGGAAAAACAGGATTCCTTCTACTGATGTTAGTGAATGGCATACATAAATAATATACGTATCATTCACCATATACTTTTTAAAATTTCTTGCTCATGTATGCTGGCTTGTCTGTGATTAATGGAAATGGTTTCTGATGCTGGAATTTATTCTGACCAATGAACATAGCTGACTCCAGGGAGTACAATCTCCTGAAAAGTAATAGAACAAAACCCAATATGCATAAAATAAATCCATGTCACTAGACTTTAGCAGATAGAACCAACTACCTGTGTAATAACAAAGCAGCAGAAGCTGCTTCTCATGCGGTTACATAGCTCTGGTGTGTTTCGCAGGGCTGTCCGTTTGATAGTAGAGATTTGGATAAGTAACATTGTCCAGAGCACAGAGCTGCTTAACATTTTGAGCAATGTACTGAAGAAATTATCATATTTTGAATAAATTATTTTTGTTTGAAAAAGAGTTTCTGTAAATTGATACAACTACAGTATTTGGAGGGTGATTCTGAACTATATAATATTGAGAAATGCTATCTAGCTATGCATGTAAACACATAATTTTCTACTTTCAGTCTGAGATATCATTGCTTTCATTTTACCCCAGTTTGTAGGCCTTAAATCAGAGGCGTAGCATAATAATGGAGACATTTTTCTTTGATACCTCTTAAGTACAGCAAATCATTTATATCCTGCAGTTTGTGGTCAAGGATCAGAATGGTATATGCTAAAAGGTTAACGCTCACGGCCTCTGAAATAGCTGAAATGTGTTCCTGATGAAGGAGACAGTTGTTTTGATGACATATAATGATTAGTAAGAGATTTTAGTTGCTAAACATCCTGGAGGTCAATTATACATTGTGATGATTGCTCCTTCTCTCCTGCTTTTCCGTTTCTAACAATTCCTGTCCAGCCTACTGAAAAGGCTGTATTATTTGGTTTCCATTGTAGTAAGAGAAAATGATGTTACAGTACTAAATTAGGATAACAAAAAGCAGTTTTAGCAGGGGTTTAATCATTGTAATCTTGATTTGTAATTGAGATGCTAGGTGTGTATGACCACATACCTATTGAGTTTGAGGTCATAAAAGGACTGATGAAATTCATGAAAATATAATGCATTAAAATGAAAGATCTGGAATTAGGATTTTTGTCCCTTTAAAATGTCTTTTTTAAAAAACAAACTTAAAAGCTTTGCTTCACCGAGTTTTGACTTGAGATACCATAGAAAGAATAAAGGCCATCTTCTGTATACACAAATCCAGCCAGTTTGATCAATATGAAAGGATGTGTGAAAGCTAGAAATTCCCAGAAGTGCTGAAAGAGATGCCTTTGCAAATGGGCAAGTTACAGGATGAAAAAAAACAACATCCCCAACAAGTTCAGAAAGTTTTTGAGTTATATTTCATTTGGTTAAGAGTTTATACATTTTGAGGCAAAACCTTTTTTAAAAAAACAGCAAAATTTCATTTTGACTCCTGTGGCTCTGAGGGCTCCAAATACATGGTGTTTCAAAACAATGGACATATTCCTGCTAATAATTAAGATCATAAGGTAGGTATTTTAAAAAGCAGTATCCTGTAGACTGCAGTGGAACAGCACTGAGCTGCTGAACTTACTGAAAGATCGGCGGTTCCAATCTGGGGAGGGGGTGAGGTCCCACTGTTAGCCCCAGCTTTTGCCAACCTAGCAGTTTGAAAATATGCAAATGTGAGTTGATCAATAGGTACCGCTCCGGTGGGAAGGTAATGGCGCTCCACAGTCATGTTGGCTACATGAGCTTGGGGGCATCTACGGACAATGTCGGCTCTTCGGTTTAGAAATGGTATTAGTTGCAGATATGGCAACATACTTTAGACATTAACAGAGGAGTTACTTTTACTGTTCAGTTTCATAACTGAATTTCACAGTTTCCTTCCTGTAGTCATGATCTCTGGATTACTTTATTTAGGTATATTATTTACAATATGAGGCCATACAAACTCCTTCAATTTTAGCACAATCAGGATAAAAACCTTCATTGTAGAATCTGCTGGGCTCCAAAATGTATATTACAAATTAAAAATCAACAAGCTTCTGCCAAATGTGTACAACTTGACTACATGCTGGTGGGAAGCCTCTGTTGCTTTTGTGAAGGACGAATTCCTGTTGTTCTGTATTCCTCTCTTTGTTTCAAGTATTCAGACTCACATTCTTTATAAAATGCTGGATCAGTATAGCTGGAAGAGAGACAAAATGTGGTAATTAGATATGGCAATGTATAGATCCAACAACATTTACTCCTGGACTATTTATAGGCTGGTTAATGATGGTGCATGGAAAATACTAGCACCATAACCATCTTTGATCTAGTGCATCTGGGCAATATCTGTTAATTTTGAAGAATACCCAATCACTAAGCTTCTCTTGCATAGAAGTCTGATGCTGGAAGCTTTCGTGAAGTGGAGTAGAAGCATCTCACATTTCAAAAGTCAGACATCAAGATTCTAAACATCCACCCCTCCCCTATCTAACCACATAGATGGAAGAGTATGGAATAGTATAGCAATGGTAAACAGCATTAGCGGGGAGATGTGGTATCTGTCTGGGCTTTGGTTTCCAGGAACATCCCCTGGAAACATCCCTCTCCTTCCAGGATATCAAAAACCATGGATGTTGAAGTCTCGTTACATACAATGTCATAATAACATGGTATCCCTTATATAAAATGACAACATTTGGGGTTTTTTTCTGGAATTTAAAAAAATATATTTTCTACACATGAATAGTTGAATCTGTCGCTATGGAGGGCCAAGTGTATTATTCAAAACTCGACTATTTTTCAAACTTGGGCATTTATCTGAAAGCATTTGGGAATTTCACTAGAAATGCAGCCCACACCTCTAGTATGAATGTTTATTTTCTACTGTATTGGTGTAATCAAAGCTTCATACAATTTGGTATAGCATTTTTAAAAACTTCAACTTTCCCCCCACCCAGAATTCTTCCTCCATTCACTTTAAACTCTCGCAGCCCCGGCTGCCTGTGAAAAACACCGAAATCCAGCACTCCATTCTTTCCATTCCATGCCTTTCCCTCATTTCACAGCTTATCTTCCCATATTGTCACTATTTGGGCCTACATTTGACTGATTCTATTGTGGTCTCAACAGACTAGCCTTATAAAAGAGAAGTGGACACATTTTGGCTCTACATTAAACTGTAGCTCTCACACTCTCTTACCACAGCCATAATGGCTAAAACATCTAAAATTAAAGTCAAAAGCTCCCGGAGAGCCACAGGTTTCCAATTTCTATTATAAAGTTCAGCTGCATGGGTAAGAATGAATGAAGTAGGGGTAGTGGTCAGAAGTATACATTCTCTGTGCTCAGATACAATGCATCACTGACTACCAAATACTGAAGGTAATGCTAGTTCTGTAAACATCTGAAGAGTGTTTGCATTTGTGTATGTTCCCCAAAATAAGAAATATTGTGCAGCCAGGATGGCTATATGGCCTTTTTGCTTAATTGCTTGCTATGAACCTTTTTTTGTTACTGTACTTACTAGCCAGTAAGACATTCTTTCAGTGCAGCATTTTCCTCTCGGCATTTAAACACCATCAGAAAACCTGTGTCCTGACAACACTTGGTAAAGGCTGTAGGAAATAAAAGAGACAAAGGGGTTATGCTGGAACAGGATGTCAAGACAAAAAAAAATCTGTTCAGAGTTGTAATTCCTTGGTCAATAATCTCACACAACATCATTACAGCAAAAACACTTTTGGATTACCAAACTTTGCTTCTGAAAAATGGCACAGGTGTTCACACAAGAGGGTCTGAAACGACGTGTTTTTGACAATAAAAACAACGTCTACCATACAAAACACCTTTAGAAGTAAAGAACAGCCCAGGTAGGATAGTAAGATCATCTTGTAACCAACATTTATTTCCCCCTCCGACTTTCCCATCCCTTTGCTTTTTTGTGGATTGTGTTTTAGTTTATATGCCTGGGGCAGGGACTGTATTATTAATCTGTTTCAGTCACTCGGAATGCTTTTTTCTTTTGCCGAGGAGTAGTGTAAAAATGCTGTAAATAAATAAACTTAGGAAGACAGTTCTCATGGAATGGAGCTCCCCCAAGAGCTCCCACATTAAGTTCTTCCTGTAGGGTAGAAAGCTTTTCATATTAAAAAGCAAGAAAAACAACTCTTACCTACCATTTTCCCTGATAGCTATACCAGCCTTCCACAATCTGGTGCCCTACAAATTTTGTTGGATTCCAAATCTTTAGCCCAGATTGGTTATAGAGGGAACAAAGGTTTCCTATTACTTTTCTGAGGAATCCCAGTTAAATATTGCCCATTATGACGACAAAGTGTCAGTGAAAATAATCTATTTGATTATGGTGAATATCCATACTTAGCCATTCTATTTTAAAGTAGAATGATGGAGCAAGGAATGATAGTGAGTATAGGCATGCCAACTCTGCTGTTTTCCACTATGTTGATCTTTATGTACAATGGCAAATCTCTCCATGTTATATAAAGTTTCCTATGTGGTAACAGAACCTTACAAACTCAGGGTTTTTAATTGTGTAGTGAGCTGATATAGTTCTGCAAAAGGCTTCTCTGCTGCAGAAATCATGCCCCAAACATTGGGAGAAGGGACAATGAAGGGGCTGTGTATGTATGTTCATTCAGCATGAAGCTGTGAACAGAACGACTACAGCAACCAAAGTGAGGGACTCCGTTTCAGCAAAGGTTTCATGGTCATCTAATGCTTAGGTCCCAATTCTGTTCTACTCTGCTGGATTGCAACCCCATCCCAGTATGTGCCTTTTGACTGTTGGTTTGAATACTGTTTATCACTAGTCTTTTGAGACATCAAAACATTCCAGTCACCACAACAAGCATTCTGAAACTGTCCAAGTCACCAATAAAGTGAGATAGCATTAATAAAAAGAAGCCTTTGCAGCTATATATTTTCTCACTCAGTGACCCAGTCTGATCCTTCAAGCTTAGCCACTCCTGGCCTGCTGCCTCGAGCTCTTTGTAAGGTCTTTCTCACTTGTTTAGCAACAAGGTTGTAATTAGGATTTTCCCTTCACACTGTGTAACAAATTAACACTGCTCATACTTGGGAGTGATCTTCAATACTACTAAACTATTTATGAAACTATTATTCCGTAACAAATCCAGGAGGTGAAACCCTGCTCCTTTTCAAACTGCTTTCAACAAGTCACCGCCCGTGTGATAACACAGCAAGCCTTTGATTAGCATTCTGCAGTGCTGATGCCGATGGACCACTTCACACATGCCTATCTCCTTTCGTGGATGTAAACTCCCTGTCTGAAAACGAGCTGTGCCTCAAAACATGCAACATAGACGTATAAACAATTTTATCACAGTTAAGTATTTCTTACCTGCCCTATCATCAATGAGTCTCAGAATCAACAAAAATAATAATCCATAGACCAGTATGATGGGAACTGGAACTGATATAAAGACATTGAGCCTTAGGTCTCAATCTGCAACCAAAATGAGGTATTACATAACTGACATACCTCTGTTTAGAAGGCCTCTTTTGGACTTCCCTTACTCTCAATGGTGAGACACAGAGAACAGCCCCCTTGGCAGCAAGTGCACATATGTGCACAAAATGTCTTTATATAGAGGAAAACCAGACCCTTGTATAGCTGCAGCTCAGAGCTGATACCATGAAGAAGCAGTTCTGTCATCTATGCTGTCTTTAAAAATCAGCCCAAAGTGATCACATAACAAGAACAATTATACTCGTATTTTTATTTTTTGAGAATACAACTCTGTGATTATCATTCTTTTAGCTAACTTGCATTAGTGCTCTATTAAAACCAGGGGAATCATGCGGACTGTGCTTTCCTTGGCTCAATCCAACTCCCCAGCCACCTTAAAATGCTTAACTGTCCCCCACAACAATACTGGCCACAACAAAATAATTTTGGAAAGGGTATAACTGTTGTGTGAAAGGTGGGAAATAGTGTTCTGGGGATTCTTATCCCAGAGCAGCCAAAAACTGTCCTAAACGTGATTGGAAGATCATTTCCAGTTCTAGAAAATGGGAGCGGTGCAGTTCTGCAGGGCCAGGAGTGGAAAAAAAAACCCTTATGCCCCCTCTCCTTCTAGAGCAGTGGTTCTCAACCTGTGGGTCCCCAGATTTTTTGGCCTACAACTCCCAGAAATACTAACAGCTGATAAACTGGCTGGGATTTCTGGGAGTTGTAGGGCAAAACTCCTGGACCCACAGGTTGAGAACCACTGTTCTAGAGTAAGGCTAAAATTAATTAAAGAACTGTTTTGATCAACTAGAAGGATGATGTACTATCAGAGTACCAGATCCTTTTTGTTAGCTCATTTCTTTTAGATTGTTTTAATATAAGATGTTCTCCCTCATCTCTCAAACACTGTTACAACTCAAATGTAATATTTAAACTTTTTGCTTCAATTTTTAGTAAGCATTTGTAAACATATGCAAATTCAGCTACATCTCAATTCAGGATATGACTAGTACAAATCTTATGAATTTCATCAGGGGTTATTTTCAAGTCAAGTGCATTAAGTAAGACTGCAGTCTAAATGAAAAAAAGATAAGACTTTTTAATTCATATATAACTATAAGGAAAAAAGTAATTTGTTCCCTTTTTGTTTAAAAAAATTGGCATTCTATGTTGGCAACCAACATTTACAGACAAGAATAAAATATTTCAAAATGACACCTATGTGTTATAATGCTTTGCATATCATACATGCCCTATATCCTTTCTTTAAAGCTGTGATAGCGACCGATGGACTTGTAGCAATACTATAGAGAAAAAACCTATCCAGTGGTCATGTGGATCATGCACACATGGGTTTTTCTCTATTGTATACAAATAAGCTGTATATAATTAACTGCATGGGGACTTCTGATGGGATTTTCAAGCTGAACACGCAGCCCAAAGAGCAATTTGGATTTCAGCTGCCCACCAGCACAGGCCTCGGTAAAGCAGTGATGTACTACTGTTTTCCCTCCTCCTTTTGTAATAATTCCTCCTGAAAAGCTGTGAAGTAAAAACCCAAGCACACGGACACGAAAAATAAAATAAAAGCTGAAGACAACGGGAGGTCCCTCTCACTTGTTAGCTCACCAGCTTCAGTTGGTTAAAGGTGTGATGTCCTAGTGAACAAAGACCGAACGGCTGCAGAGAGCATACATACCCCAGCTTCCGAAGGGCCCTGCTTAAGCTGCAGACAGCCAGGGCTGCGCACACAGGAAGCATCATTACAGAGTGATAAAAGTGCTTCCAGCTATAGAGCTTTAATGTTGTTAATGCTAACTCAAAAGGAAAAGAAAAGGGAGGGAAAAGGAGCAGGCTTGAGAGTATTACAATCCGTGAACATATAACACTACTTAATTACTTCTGGCTTTTGTATCTACAGCCTTTTTCAATCCCTCTGCTGCTAGGAGAAAAGACTGTAATTTGGACTATTCAATTACGAATGTTTACTAGAGGCTTTCAATGGACCTGAAAAATACAGCATCTCTCTTTTAGCCGATGCTGATCAGGCACAAGTCTGGCTTTGGCTCTTTTTTTAAATGCAGAATATTCAGAGAAATTTCATTAATAGTTAAAACCCACTTTTGGGGGTTAAAAGACCCAGAAAGACAGGATGAGAAAAACATTAAAATTAACTTTCAGAAAAATTAACTTTCAACGCCCCCCCACCTCCCCCTTAGGTATCCTGATTTACTTATTTCCATGGTGCCAATAAAATAGTTTAAAATGGGTAATGAATTGAGCAAATGAGCGTAGCTGCAAGAGGATAGGCTAAAGGCAAAGAATACTCGCAATGTTTTCACAGGATTTTCCACAAGCGGCCAACTGAGATAATCACTGCAGGGCACTACCCTTTTCACAATCGGGCTGCAGTCTGCTGACATATACTGCATGCTGAGTGAAGGGCAGTTGGCCTTTCAAGTCTAGTCTCACACTGCAAAGAGGATGACAAGTCCATCCAACAATCCATCATGTTGTGTCATCTTATTTTGAGTTTACTATTTTGGAGGAAAAAATCACAAGGCCTGTAATAAAGCAAGAAAACTATTTTCCTGTTGCTATTTTTTTTAAAGTTACAAAGTCACAGATGTTTTCATATGCACTTCTCACAGGAAACTTTTGTATGGCTCCTTCTTTTTTATTTATGTAGTGTCATCCATGTACATGGTGCACTACAAGTTAAACAACCAAAACTAGGGGGTAGTGCCAAAGGCATACAATCTAAAATCTCTGTGTATACAGTTACACATACAGAGGGAAGGAAGGAATAATAAAATATAAAACCATACAACCCACCTTTAAAATAAATTATCCAGTTAAAATACAAAAAAATATAATATTAAACAAACTGAGCAATACATGCTGTTAAAGTATACAAGATTCAAAACGAATATTAAAGTAAAAGTACCAAAGGTTTAGAAAAGTAAAGTAAAGGTAAAGGTTTCCCCTGGCATTAAGTCTAGTCGTGTCCAACTTTGGGGTGTGGTGCCCATTGTCAATTTCTAAGTCATAGAGCCGGCTTTGTCCATACACACCTCCAAGGTCACATGGCCAGCATGACTGCATGGAGCACTGTTACCTTCC